TTGTATTCCACCTTCGACAACTTGTCTAATGCCGCTTCCATCAATCTTTTTTAATCAGTTCCGTTCCACTTTTAATCTCATTTTCTCGTTAAAAAAAATAAACTAAATGGAGAAATGTTTTTGAAAATTTTTATAGTTGTTTATAATGAGTATTTTATTATAAATTAATCTATTTTATTTTTTATTTGAAAAATAATAATTTGTTTTACTAAAAAAAATAAGATAATTAACCTTGTTAAAAAAATAAAAAAAACGAGATTTGTAGTTAACCAAACTAATTTTTTAAGTTTAATAAAACCAACCACAACAAATAATTTAATTACTAAAAAACAATTGTTTTTATTGTCAAAACCAAAACTAAAATTAAAATCTTATACTCAATTTGAAAGTTGCGTTTTCAAAAACGAGAGGAGATTGACAACATACAAACGAAAGCTTATATAAGTTGAGAGTCAACTTGAAATGACAATGGAGGAGATGAGTGAGGGTGGGGTGCTAAGTGTGTTTAGTAAAGCGTTGTATTTTAACAAGTGTTATTCGCCATTGGTAATTCGTAGTAAAAATCGACCTGAAGTCTTAGATTTAGTTGATGGTGTTGAATACGAGTGTTTCATAGATGACATAGTAACACATTTATATCACACTGGCACGGCCAAAGACTGACAGCTTTCATTTCAAATTACTGCTATTTTTAACTTTTGTTTAATAAATAAGATAACCAATAAGTACTCACATTAACTTACTCAAATTTGTTTCATTTCAACTTGCTGATAATCAGGGGATGGATCAACGCGTTTCTCTTGCCGTTTGTTGTTTATATATGTTCCTATGTGATAATAGACCTCTTCGAGGACAATACAAATGACCATGAATATCACACCCACATATATTTGGATATAGTTGTTGTTCAAGTACGTACACAACAACCCACTAATAAATGGCAATAAAGAGTTACCAAGTCCACTCACACCCTCAGAAATGCCCATGAACATCGACTTACTCTCTTCACTCGCTCTCATGGAGTAATACGTGGATGTCTGATACGCAAAACCACCCGCAAGCCCACCAATAAAGGCCATGAACCAATTCAAATACGCGTTCCGAGACACTCCTATGATCAACAAGAATAATATGAATCCCGTCTGGAAGAGCAAAAATAGACTTCGTTTATACGTCCATACAAGAGTCAAAGACATCCCTACCATTACTAGTTGTTAATCAATTTGCTTAATTATAAACATTAATTCACACGTTTAAATGTTAACCTTATAACAAAATAACAAACCAACTGTTTGTGCTAAGAAATAGAAGAAAAAGACGATCCCAATATACATGTCCAATGCGGTAGGACTCTTCACTTCTAAGTCAATAGCCAACTTGACATATGTCGAGCTAATAACAGCACTTGTACCATAAATAGCGCATTGTTGGATATATCCAATAATGATGAACGTTTTATTACTCAACTCTTCCGGACTCCACTTGAATTTGATCTGCACCGTGTTCTGGTCTTCATGATGTGCATAGACTTCCGTTTGAACCAAAGACTCTTCACTTTGTCGTGGTGTTTGCCCAATTTCGCTCTTTCTCTCGGGTGACGTTGGAGCTTCAACGACTTCACTCTTTCTTTCCAGAGATTCTGGAACAAATTGAGCCTCTCCTTCTTTATGTTGTGAAGGAACTTCACTCGCGTCTACAACGACTTCGATGTCATGGATGTCGTCTTTGTGTTCGATTGGTTGTGGCTCGGCTTTTTTATCGATGACAAGTTCGATACCATCGGGGCCCTTATGAATGCTCTCGACTGGAATTGCAATATCCTTCGGTGTGGTATCATTTTTCTTCTTCTCGTCTTTAAATTTTCTTTTTTTCTCTCTAATTCTCTTTGGGTGTGTGAAAGGGTACAATACCATCGTCACTATAATAAGTGCTATACAGATGTACAACGAATTGGTCCCAAGCGCTGTTTTGAGCAACCCACCAAACAAAAAGCCAAAACACTTCCCAAAACTCCAAGACACTTGATAGAGGGATGTGTTTCGATTTTCGTACCCAAGTGGTGACTCAAACCCAATTGTCCCCGTTGTGACCGACCAAAATATGGACGTGCAAAATGGCCAAATACACACTGATACGTACAACGCTGGAATCGAACTTGGAAATATCAAAATGACTGCAACGGCTGCAATGAAGAATAAAAACCCGACTCGCACTATAATATATGGATTGACCTTGTCACCCAACTTTCCCGCAATCGGAGACAACACTGCATATATCACAAACCCAACGGTTTGAAGAAGAGACAAATCAAATGTACTTCCACCTTTGTCGTTCATTATAAGAGGAACAACAAGCCAGTAAAAGTAGTTTGCAAAATTGAATACAAACCCGGTGTAACACGCACGTGGGAAATTCCAAAATACTGATAGTGCCTTCTCTGTAAACCACTTACAATCCTTAACCATCACCAGTATGGTTCTTTTCGAGTTGGCTTGTTTTATTTTTCGTTGGATTGTTACATTCTTTTTTAATCGTTCATCTACTCACCCATTCCACACACCTTCCATTGCATGTTTCTGTATAAGAATTGATTAAACTTTATTCCATTAAATAATCAGGAAAACAGCCAGATTTCTTTTTTTCAATGGTTAATTTTGATAATTTTAAACTATGCATCTTTTAAGTATTTTATTTGTATAATAGATATACCAATGTTTTTAATACCTGTTATTTTTTACTTGACCATTAAAGACGCTTTGCTTTTCTGTATACTATTTTTGAACACCCCCATACACAACAATTAAAACTTCCAACGCCAATAAAATGTTATTATAATGTTTTCAAAAAGTGATTTTTTAGAATGAACAAACTCTTGTGGATCAATACTGAAAAAGAAAGAGGCGATGAACAAAAACAAAGACGCTGAGGTGGAGTGGTTAATTGAACACCTCCTTCATTTGATGAAAGAGAAAAAGATCGGGAAGACATTTATCGAGAATTTTTCGATGCCAACAATCTATTCCAAAAAACGACTTTTACTCCGACGCATCACAGACACCATGAAGCCTTACAAATACAGTCCACAGTTCATTGACCGTCTCAACAATTTGCTTCAGACGGAACGCGAAGACCCCATTCTCCTTACCCAAATTCCACCCACACAGCTCCACACCATGTTTTCCAAAAATATTCATTTGTTTCAAGGCGATATCACAACACTCAAAGTCGACGCAATTGTAAACGCGGCAAATTCTACCCTTTTAGGGTGTTTCATACCAAATCACAGTTGTATAGACAGTATCATTCATGCAAAAGCGGGCGTACAAATGAGGTACGAATGTAGTACACTTCCAACAGCAGGAAAGGCCAAAGTCGGTTCTGCAGTCTCGACAAAAGGGTATAATCTCCCCGCCAAGTATGTCATCCACACAGTTGGTCCAGCCGTTGGGGTTCTACACCCACACCACTTTTACGAGTTGCAACAATGTTACTTGAACTCTTTACATCTTGCATTTTCGCTTGGCTGTGAGTCGATCGCGTTCTGTTGCATCTCAACAGGTTTTTTTGGGTTTCCCAATGAAGAGGCTGCAATGGTTGCAATTCAGTCGATTAACTCATTTTTTAAAATCCATAAAAATATAACTCTTTCCGTCGTCTTTGTTACATTCTCAAAGCTCGATCACTCACTCTATCAAACTGATCTTGAAATGGGCTTTGACGAATTGAAAATTCCAACAAAAAGTGAATATGATGCTGAAATGAAAGAAATTGCAAAAATCAAGAGCACGGCAAAAAAAAGTGATGACGAGGTTGAAGAGAGCGGAACGAATACACACTTAAGTGATGATGGCGCAGAGAAAAAACAGAACGAACACAAAGAAGTCAAGTTGAAAACGCCAAAAGTGAGGAGTCAGAGCCTCGATAAGTGGTTTGTGAAGAAATCATGAGTGCTGCTATTTACAACGCTCTCTTTAATTCAATTCGAGTGTTTTTGTTTCGTGCTGTTCCTGTTGCACGACGTTCATTGTACCCGACAAGACAAGCCCAACAACAAGGAGCAACACTATGAAGAGAAATACAAAAATTGCGACAACCCACCAACTCATCTTTTCGATGTCTGAAATCATCGTTTGTACAATTCCGTTTGATTGGGTTAAATCGACCTTTGTTATTTTGAACTCTTTTTCGACACGTTTTGGTGTGTAATTGGAAGTGGTATTCAAGCGTTTTTCTATTTTCTTAACTACAGGTACTAAATCGCTTTTATTGATGATGACCTCTGCTGTTTTCTTTTCTTTAGCTTTCTTGAATGAAGCGTGTCTCGTTCGGCGCACCTTGGCTCTTTGAGGGCGATCGACAGTGTATAGTGTGACTCGCACCTTACCATTTGGTACATTTCTCTCTGCTCCAATTCGGACTTTTGCTTTCAGGAATGTTTGAATTGAAGGAAGAAACTCGAGAATGGTCCCATTCTTGTATTTGCATGGGCGTGTTCTTGTTCTAAGACACCCACTTTCACATGTCATTGAAATTGATGTTTTTACTGTCGTGTCTCTGTTGCACGTTGACACACGAAACACTTTATTTGGTGGTATTGCGACGGGGATAAACAAAGCGTTTGTTTTCGAGTTTTTATTGCAATCGTCTTTGATATCGACAAACGATGAGACATTCATTTTCGGTGAGAAGAAAGGGAAATCTGCGACTAATGTTTCTGGTTTCATTAAAGCGTTCTTCTTGAGAATTAAATTTCCGATGAATTGATTTGAAGACTTAATCATATTATCAGATGTTTTAATTAAACGCTTCAAATTTGAATATTTTGCAATCGCATTACAACTAAAGATGAATATCAAAGTAAATAAGTACCACATCACTGTGTTTAAAAAAATATCTTTTTGTAGTTTCTTTCTTTTCAAAGAAAGAAAATTGTGATATTTTCAATTCATTAATTATTCTATAAACCAACTGAATAATTCAAATAATAACAATTATTGAAATTAGAAGATTAAAAAATAGCACACTTTGATGTGTGATCTTTTCGAGTTTTCGTTGTTGAAAAAGAAGTCTTTAGTGCCGTTGTTATGGCTTGATCAAATAACAATTTTAAGTTTTTTTGTGTCAACGCAGAACACTCAAAATAACCTGCTCCTCCATACTTTTTAGACAAATTGTTGGCTTCTTCATAACTCACCCATTGGAGTGACCCATTTTGAACATTTTGTACAATAGTAATGTCTTCTCTCATATCACCCTTTGTTCCAACTAACAAGAATGGAATTGTTGGTGAGTGTTTTCTAATTTCAGGAATCCAGAAATATTCAACGTTTTCGAAGGATGCTCGTGAGATGATAGAGAAACAAATGAGGAAGCAATGAGTACCTGGATACGACAAAGGTCTCATTTGATCATACTCGTGTTGTCCTGCGGTGTCCCATAAACTCATATTAACTGGGGTTTTACCAGACATCAAAAAAGCTGAGTAATTATCGAACACAGTTGGGATATATTCAGTTGGAAAACTGTTTTGTGTGTATGAGATCAGCAAACTTGTTTTTCCCACGGCTCCATCTCCAACTGTAACCAATTTAACTGGTACTGTTCTTGTAGTCATCTGTTATGAAATGGTAACCACTGTCATAAGTTCTTATACCACCATCTTCCCGTTTCCATTTTTAAGTCTTTTTTCTTCGAATGATTTATAGTTTTTGATTATAAAATGAACCATTTTATTGATTTGATAAAAATAGAAATATTTACTATTTGAATAGAATTTAAGTTATTAGAACAAAAACCTATGAAAAAAAGAATTAAAAAAATCATGAAAGGTCGAAACTCGTCAAGCAAATCCGATCCAGAAATTTTTCACCGCAAGAAGGACGTTCGTCCAAAAAGTAAATCGAAGAAGACTTTTACAAAAAGGGAAGACTCAAAATCTGACACTTTTCGAGGACGTCTCCACGACGAACAAAAAAAAACGGCACACAAATTTAGAGACGAGAAAAAGCCATTCAAAGACTCCAAGTCAGTGCACTACCATAACGAACATCCAAAATCAGAGTCAGACGGGTTTCTGGATGACAGACCAAAAAGATCATTATTAGACACATTTCAGACAGAATTGCAAGGTGCGAAATTTAGATACATCAACGAAGTGTTGTATACATCAAGGAGTGATCAAGCGCTCCATCTCTTTGAAGACAAGCCACAACTGTACTCGGATTACCACACCGGGTATCACGAGCAAGTCAAAAAATGGCCTGTGAATCCACTCGACTTGATCATAAAGAAGATTCAAGAGAACGCAGACATCAAAGAAGTAGCTGACATGGGTTGTGGGGATGCCATTCTTGCTTTAAAATGCAACACCATCAAAGTGCACTCATTCGATTTGGTCAAAACAAATGAACGTGTAACTCCGTGCAATATCAAGAAAGTGCCTGTGAAGAAAGGGATGTGTGATGCTGTCGTTTTTTGTCTTTCTTTGATGGGTATCGACTTTCCACATTTCATCCGCGAGGGTTTCAGAATTTTGAAAACGGGAGGGTTGATGTTCATTGCAGAGGTCAAAGGTCGTTTCCCAAAGAAGAACAACTTTAAAGAGGAGATGCTCAAGATAGGTTTAGAAGAGGTTTCAAATGAGGATCACAATGTCTTTGTCATCATGACATACCGCAAAGCCACCAAGTCCAATATCATAAAAGAGACTGTCTTCCAAGAGTTCAAGAAGGATATCAAGTTGATCCCGTGTCTTTACAAAAAGCGATAAATACGATTGATTGTTGCGTTTCTTTTTGTCGTGACATATTATGAAAAACAGGAGCATTCATTCTTGGCTCGAAATAAAAGTTTTGAACGGGAACCCTAGTTCCGAAGATGTCGATAACAAAGGAGGAGTACGAGAAAGTGACCTCGAAGGTTCTTGGAGTCTCTAAGAAATACGAAGGCAAGCCATGTGAAGGTTACGACTTCACCAAAGGTGTAAATTTTGTCGAGATGATGGACAAGATGGGAACAACTGGTTTTCAGGCTGCGAACTTAGGGAAGTGCGTTGAGCAAATCAAAGAGATGCGTAAGAATGATGCCACTATATTCCTAGGATACTCTTCTAATATTGTCTCCAGTGGACTTAGAGAGGTAGTTCGATACTTAGTGAAGAATAGCTATGTCGATGCTATTGTCTGCACTGCGGGGGGAATTGAAGAAGACTTCATCAAAACTATGCACCCGACCTTGATGGGTGATTTTTATTTCAGAGGAAAGGATTTATATCCAAATGGGTATAACAGAATAGGCAATTTGATTCTCCCCAATTCAAATTATTGTGAGTTCGAGGACTTCATGGTCCCTCTGTTGACACAATGCTTAAAAGAACAAAACGAGGGCGTGCAGTGGACTCCGTCCAAATTAATTAAACGGATGGGCGAAGCTATTAATAATGAGAATAGTGTGTACTATTGGGCGGCTAAGAATGACATCCCAGTGTATTCCCCAGCAGTTACTGATGGCAGTATTGGAGATATGTTATTTTTCTTTGGGTACAGACACGAAGGCTTTGTATTAGACATAGCACAAGACTTGATCGACATGGAGGACTTGGCCTTTGATTCGGAGAAGGTTGGATGCATTCTGTGTGGCGCGGGAATAGCAAAGCATCATATTTTGAATGCAATGAAAAGACGAGGTGGTTGTGACTATTGTGCTATGTTGACCACTTCAATCGAGTGTGACTGTTCGGACGCTGGGTCTGAAATAGAAGCAGACAGAACTAAAGGCTTCTTTAAGCCAGAATGCACACCAGCCAAAGTGGTTGGCGACGCAACTATTCTTTTCCCATTGTTAGTAGGGGCAACCTTTGCACAAACAGATAACTAAATGATGTGTGTGAGTACTTTGAATTTATTAAAACCTCATTTTTTATTGGAGTGTATAATAAGATGTGCCAAACTTCAAATTGTAAGAAAAAAAATAACTTAATTTAATATATTTATAAGTTACAATATAAAGTAAATATACATGATATGTGTTGTTAGGCTAGTTTTTTTACCAACAAAATTGTATTATTTCGGGAAATCGCACAGCCTCTTATAATCATTACTGTACCTTTTTTTTCGTTCTGATCATTGGTACTTAATCCC